TTAACAACTCTTGCAGCATCCACACAGTCATGTGATCCACATATGTACTCTTTTTTATTTATTTATTTATTTTTATACAAACATACATAATTAAAACCATCTTCAATTGCAAACAGTGTGTTGGTTGGTTACAAGTCTTTTGTGCATCTTCACCAAATTCATAGCTTACAATTTACAGTTTCCCTAAATTCTCATATCATCGACCTAATATATATATTATTATCCTCATTAGTCATTTATTTGATTATGACTATTTCTTCCCTCATTGTTATTCACAATATTCTTAAATTTGAGTTAATTTTTATTATAACATTCATTTCATCCTCCTAAATCTATCTACTAGTACATCTTTATATTTTATTTCACATAATTCTACAATTCTTGTATTGTGAAGATCTCTACCATATTTCATTTCCATATTTTTTTAGTCTTAACCATTGATAAAATAGGTCCCATATCTTATAGTATTGTTTATATTCTTATTCTCTAATTTCAAATGTCAATTTACTCATTTCAGCACATTCCATTATTTTCTTAATAACTTCATCCTGCGTTGGTATTTTCTCATTTTTCCAATTTTTAGCAAACACAATTCTAGCCGCTGTTAATACATTAACAATCAAATATCTCAACTCTCTATTATATATTTCAGGTACAAACCCTAATAAAAAAATCTCTGGTTTAAAATCTATGTGTTTTTTTGTCATTTTTTCCAACCATGTGTGGATTCTAGTCCAGTATCTTTTAGCTTCTACACATGTCCACCACATATCCACATACAGTATGTACTCTTGGCAACTGGCGTGCGTTTATGACGGTTTCAGTATCCCAGGGTCAAGTGATCATCATTTGCGACCTTCTGAGAAACAAAGTCAACCAGGAAGCCAGATTCACTTAACAATCATGTTACTAACTTAATAATTGTAGTGATTCACTTTACAACTGTGGCAGGAAAAGTTGTAACCCGGGGCAAAAGTTTGGGGCTCAATTGTGGTCATCAGTCAAGGACTACCTATTGTAACTTTAACACTGAGACTTGTTGAAGCTTTGACCTATCTCTATTTTTGTATTCCGTTCGACAACAATCTTAATAGGTTAGTTGGGATGAGAAAGGATTGTATTTTTCCCCCCAACATAAGTCGCTAAGCTTCATGACTGAATGTGATGATTTTGACACTAGTATCTTCACATGCTAAGCAGTAGTGGGTTGCCCCCAGTTTGCACCAGTTCTATAGAACCGATAGTAAAACCAGCGGGAGGCTCCGCCCACCGACCCCAATGTCATCAAAATGCTTCTGCACATGCGCAGAAGAGCGCACGCACAGCCCTGTTGCGAACTGGTAGTAAAGGTAAGAAGAATCCACCCCGATGCTAAGGATGGGATGAGTTTATCCCCCAGTGAGCATCACTTATGGTCTTTCAAGTTACATTGGGCACTTTTTAACCACAAACCTAGATTATGAAAAAATAGGTAGACATCCATCATGAATTCCTTTTCAGGCAAAAGTAGGTGAATTGACCAAGCTCTAATACAGTATAAATGGGCAATCAGACCTTGGCTAATTTCACAAGTGCACAGAATGTGGCAATTGGGAGAACTTATATACAAATACATATATTTTAGAGCCAACTATGTTAAAATATGGTTTTATTTAAGTTTTTAGAATAGAATAGAATAGAATAGAATAGAATAGAATTAGAATAGAATAGAATAGAATAGAATAGAATAGAATAGAATAGAATAGAATAGAATTCTTTATTGGCCAAGTATGATTAGACACATAAGGAATTTGTTTCCGGTATGTAAGCCCTCGATGTACATACAACAATAGTGATAGATCATTAACATAGTCATTGTAAAATACATTCATCATAAAACATTATATACAACACTTAGAGATAGTCATGGATACTAAATAAGCAATCAACATAAATCATACTAGGATACTAAGTAAACAATATAAATCGTAAGATACAAATAACAAAGTTGTAGTCGTAAGAAGGTAAGGAGATAGGTAATAGGGAAGATGAGAATAATGATGGTAATACTGCCTTCTTAGATAGTTTGACTGTTGTGGGAATTAGTTGTTTAGTGTGTGTGTGTGTGTGTGTTTGTGTGTGTATGATGTGAAGCTTTGATGCAATGAATTGACTTGAACAGCTTTGACTCACATGTGACACAGTGATATACATATAAGGATACTAAAGGCAGGCAAAGAATTAGGTATGTTTGACTATGCATATATTAAGAAAGTTTTCAGTATGTACGTAAGTCCTCTGACTATGACATAAAAATGCATTTGCAAACCTATAGAGACTTTCTTGGAAACAAATGTAATTGGGTACACTGGGGCTAACTAAAATCTGTACAAATGGGTGTCAGACAATACACTATGCATATTTACTCAGAAGTAAGTCTTATTAAAGCAAGTGGGACTTGCTTCTGAGTAAATATGCTTCCAATCAGGCTGCCTGCGTCATGGACTTTCACTGGGTTTATTTTCAGATAGTGCTATCTGAAGCACTAAGCAAATATAGTTTGAAGCAAAATGTATTAAATCCGGTGAAATTTACTCCTGAGTAAATAAGTTTAGTACAGTCAAAATGTCAGTGGATTTATGATATGAGCTTTTTTAACCAGAAAGCAAATTTTATCAAACATAGTTTTGATTGCAGCATTACACTTTACGTTGCTTTAGTTAACCTGTATTCCTTTTATACTAAAATGACCTTCAAAGAAATTTTTAGATCCTTTTCTAGCATTATTTTTTTCTCTGAAAGAAAAAGAGTTCAGTGCCATCTAGTGGGGATGGGACTAGAAAAATTCCACGCAGATTTGTCTCTCCCCATCTACCCACCCACGGAGAGTTACTTAGCGACTGTAAAACAATGGTTTAACTGTCCCTGCTTGAATCTTTGGGGTGGGGGGGCGGAGAATTTAATTCACACAGGCACAACTATCTGTAAACTATGTACCAAAAATGTGTCTGCAAAACGGATTTTGATGATCTGATTCAAGGCATCTGTTCCCTGGGATCTATTTGGTAACTCTGGCGTACATTGCAATTTTGACAGATTGCATATGGCTTCACACACCTGCATTAAAACTTTTATAACAGGCTACTGAAGCATCGAGTCAGGACCCCTGGGTTTAAACTTGAGTTAGCCTAGAGAAAGTCAGAGTAGAGTAGAGTGGAGTGGAGTGGAGTGGAGTGGAATGGAATAGAATAGAATAGAATAGAATAGAATAGAATAGAATAGAATAGAATAGAATAACAGAATTGGAAGGGACCTTGGAGGTCTTCTAGTCCAACCCCCTGCTTAGGCAGGAAACCCTACACCACTTCAGACAAATCGTTATCCAATCTCTTCTTAAAAACTTCCAGGTTCAGGAATCATATTACTGATTAAACTGAATGAATGATTAAACTAGAAATGTATTTTAACATCCTTCCCTCCAAAGAAGATTGGTCTGCATCAGTAAGGGGTTTCAAAAATTTTTACTACCAGTTTGGTGGGCGTGGCTTGGGCATGGCAAGGGAAGGATACTGTAAAATCTCCATTCCCTCCCAATCAGTTGGGACTCGGGAGTCAGAGAATAAATGGGGGTGGGACCAGTAAGAATTTTTACTATCAGTTCTTCAAACTACTCAAAATTTCCACTGCCAGTTCTCCAGAACTGGTCAGAACCTGCTGAAACCCACCTCTGGTCTGCATAATAATATTTAAGCATGGGGTTTGAAGTTGTAGTATACATGCAGTAAGCATGTACAAACAAACATTATTTGAGGAGCCGTGGTGGTGCAGTGGTTAGAATGCAGTATTGCAGGCTAATTCTGCCAACTGCCGGTAGTTCGATTCTAACCGGCTCAAGGTTGACTCAGCCTTCCATCCTTCCGAGGTCGGTAAAATAAGGGCCCAGATTGTTGGGGGCAATAGGCTGACTCTGTAAACCACTCAGAGAGGGCTGTAAAGCACTATGAAGCTGTACATAAGTCTAAGCGCTATTGCTAAGTGCTATTAAAGTATGTACAACCAACATTATTAAAGGGCTGAACGTTTGAAAATTGGGAGCGTACCGCTCATTTTTCTCCTAGCTCAACCACTCCAGAACTTGCTTTAATTTTTAGACTACCTGCAGCTGATAATTGTACACATAAGCTAAATGGGCTGTTTTCATAACTTAATTTTGGTTTATTAATTTTTTTTCATATAACACACTGAACTATAAATTAATCACACAGGTTGCTTCATGTAACACACTAAATTAAAATATAGTTGGACAGTCCATCATTCTGTGCATTATGCAAGCATAGCCACCGAACTGGAAACAGTGGAAGGGAGGTTCTAAGTAGGTTTATGGTGAGCCATTGTCACTGAGATTGTATCCAGTACAATTGTATCCATTTAGCTACCTGTGTCTAAAACAGGTACAGTACATAGAGAATCTTTAGCCTATAGATCTCCAATCCCATCTGTTAAGGTTCTGAACCCAAGCAAGCTCTATTTCTATTCTGTTTGGCATGTCTTTCCATAATACTTTTGATGTCTTGTTTTGCTTCTTCTTTTAATTTTTTAATTTTAATTTTTTTTATTTTTATTTGATTTATATGCCGCCCTTCTCCGGAGACTCAGGGCGGCTTACAATGCGTTAAGCAATAGCCTTCATACTTTTGTATATTTTATACAAAGTCAGCTTATTGCCCCCACAAACTGGGTCCTCATTTAACCTACTTTAGAAAGGATGGAAGGCTGAGTCAACCTTGAGCCTGGTAAGATTCCAACCTGCAGAAATTGCAGGCAGCTGTGTTAATTACAGGGTGCATTAAACCACTGTACTACCAAGGCTCCTATAATTCTATAATGCTTTTCTCCATTGTGTTTGTGTGGGCTTAAACATGTATCTACGCTCACTGTATTGGTTTGCATTGTGGCAAGTTTTATATCGAAATATATTTTATTCTTTATGCTGTTTCCATCTTCGCCTACAACTTTAACAGAATCCACAATGGACTGAGATTCAGTGTCTCCACTATGTCAAAATAGAACAGCCTTCTCTCAACAGAGGGGATGGGGATACAACATCATCTATCTCTAGTGTACAACACAGTCCTTTCAACAGTTCCAAGAAGGCTCCACACCAATTTGCCCCACTCCGGTGACCCTGATGACACAGATAAACCTCCAGGTGATCTTAATGACCTGCTAAAAGAATGTCAATGTCCAGCTGTCTGCAAGGAGTATACATCCTTCCATTCCACACCAACCAGTCAGAGCTGAAGAAGCTTCTTGGATTAGAAGTGAAACGTCTTCAAAGAAAAACCAGAAAGTCCAGTTGCCTCTTGAAAAAAAGCAAACCTTTGGGAGGTTTATTTGTTAGATTTATACAATGGCTTTCGTTAAGGAGCTCAAGGCATCATATAGATAGTCCTTGAGTTTCAACCATTTCTGTAGTGATTGTTCAAAGTTATACTGACACTGAAAGAAATTTACTTATGGATGGTGCACACACTTAATGTTAGGAAATGATTTTACCTAACTTGTTGGGTTGGCAATATATAAACCATCAATATTGCTTTAAGACTGCTGTATTGCTGTATTGCATCATACTGTGTCCTGATTGGTTAGCTCTGTAGCCAAAGTCCTTAAGAGGGAGCTAGAAACCTGGTTTATCTCTCTTTGCTCTCTTTGCTACTCTTTACTGCTGCTTTGCTGTGTTTGCTACTGTTTGCAAATATAGAAGAACTGTTATTGTGTATGACTACAACGACTGGTAAGAAGACTTTGTTATTGGATTATCCCTGGACTATTGTTTGATATCTATTGCTTTATCTGTGTATGACCTGGACTGTTTAATGGACTGTGCCTTATTGCTATTTCCTGATAGTAAACACAACTCAGTGTATCTCTGTGTTGGTTGTGTTATTTCCTAACTACTCTCAATCGCTTTTCATGTGCACACCCTTGCTACTCAAGGGTTGCTCTACGAATTCCTTAACACTTTTGACCATTGCAATATCCTTATGGTCACATAGTCAAAATTTGGGCGCTTGGCAACTGGCATATTTTGAACAGTTGTGGAATCCTGGAGTCATGCGATCTCCATTTGCCACCTTCCCAGCCAGCTTTCCACAAGCAAAGGCAATGGGTGAAGTTGGATTGACTTAACGATATGATTTACTTAACTATCTAATAATCATAGCAAAAAAAAAGAGGTTTTGTAATTGGATGCGATTCACTTAACAACCACCTTTCTTAGCAACTGAAATCCTGATCCCAATTGTGATAGTCAGTGGAAGACTATCTGGACATTGTAATTCTTCTTTCCAGTTTTATTCACAATAACTCTTATCAGGAAGAGGGGCCAGGAAAGAAAGTGACCAGCCCAAAATCTTGCTGTACATTATGCTGTTTCCTTGCAACAAGCATTAGTTGTATTCTGACTTGGTTCACACATTGTTCTAAGATATGGTGTGATTGGCTTGATGTTTGCCTGGGGCAGGGGTCTGCAACCTTAAACACTCAAAGAGCCATTTAGACCAGTGGTAGGTTTCAACATTTTTTACTACCAGTTTTGTGGGTGTAGCTTGGTGGATGTGGCTTGGTGGGCGTGGCAGGGGAAGGATACTGTAAAATCTCCATTCCCATCCCACTGCAAGAGAAGAATACTGTAAAAACTCCATTCCCTCCCCAATCCAGGGGAAGGTTACTGCAAAATCTCCATTTCCTCCTGATCAGCTGGGACTTGGGAGGCAGAGAATAGATGGGGGCGGGGCCAGTCAGAATTTTTACTACCAGTTCTCCGAACTACTCAAAATTTCCAGTACCGGTTCTCCAGAACTGGTCAGAACCTGCTGAAACCCATCTCTGATTTGGACCCATTTTCCACAGAAAAGAAAATACTGGGAGCCACAAAACCCTCCCTATGCCTGACTATTTCTTGAGAGGCCACAAAACTAGCATGGGTAGTTGAATTAAACATTCTGTTTTCTTCTGAAACTTTTCTTTTCTTGGATTTAACCATGGTTGGCCTACCGGGGGTTGAAAAACTCAATAAATCGTGTGCCGGCGAGTGTCGCACATTGGCGGTTGTGACACATATTTTGAGTGACAGGGAGCCACAGCAGAGGGATGAAAAAGCCACATGCTGCTCCAGAGCCGCAGGTTGCTGACCCCTGGCCTGGGGTATTACACAAAGTCTGCCAATTGTGGTTTATTCAGTGAGTCACTGTTAAATTGTGAAAACCATCTACCTTCCAAATGTTTTGGACAATTCCCATTAACTTTAGCTACAAAAACTAGTGGCAAAGAACTATGTACTCCCAAACTTGGAAGGAAGGACTATCCTTTTATAAAATTATCTGAAGTCTAGCCATCTATGTATCCTGCTGACCTCAAACTGTTATTTTACATTCCTTTTCCCTTTCAATCAAACAGAATTCATTTAGATTCATCAGCCAACCATACACATTTCATTTCTCTTGAATCTGACATCATTTAGCTTTGTGGATAGCCCCAGGTTCAGAAGCTTAGGGAATCGTTTTTAATTAAATCAGCTCAGTGGTCGACCACCGGCTCTCCAGAGCTATGGATAATATGGAAATGTTTGCCACTGACCAAAAGGAATTGCATCCTGAGAGTCATTAACAAGCAAAGATGGAAAGCATACAAACCATTTCATGCATCCTGTCTCAAATGTACCTGCAACAACAGAGCTGGCTGGGAACTGCTTTACTGCTAGGGGTTATCATCCGATGAAATACAAGCCAAATATTATTTTTAGTCAAGGCTTAGAGATGTCAGAAAATTGCTGTAGGAGGACCGGATTGAAGATTAAGGGAATGGAGAGTCTATAGCCCTAAGGATATGTATAATTCCAAAGTTATTTATATGTACAGTAGGATAGAAAGAAGAAATCTCATTCATTTCATCATTGCTGGCAGAAAGTCCCAACTGAGTTGCTTCACTCGGTAGAATAAAAATATCCCAAAGAACAGCTGAAGCTAAGGATGAAGGAAAAATTCTATTTAAAAACAAGTCCACTGCATTCTCCTACAAGTTTTGTATTTCTCGCTCTCCCCCTGCTCATTTATAGCAATATCATTTGCACAGAAATTTATTTGGTGGACTTTATCAAAGCAGTACAATTGTATCTGTAGCTTATTTTCCCCACCCAAATCCTAAATATTGTTTGTGAATATTATGAGGATTGCTATAGTAATGTTAAATCAAATAAACAGCAGATTATGAAAGGAGGTGGAGGAAAATACAGTATGTAGAAAGGAAAGAATTTTGAGATGAAGATCTTTCTTAATCAAATATCCTTACTTTTCAGATATTTACCATGTTTCTCCATCACTCAGCTGATCAGTTATCAGTTGAGCACCAAGTGAGAGAGAATCACTATTTCTGCTAAAAAATTTAGGACGCTGACCTTAATAGGAATGTGAGGAAACTATGTTAATACATTCTGCTTTAAAAGGTTTTTATAACAACCAATAAAGCTTAAAGCCAATATAATCATTGTGGTTGGTTTTGACATCATATTCAACCATCATTTGTCAAATTGTTGGATCTGCACTGTACTAAAGTATGATGTATGATGTAAAGTACAATTTTGCACAAAGTGCTTTCACACTAAGTCCATATTCCACATCCTTTCAATTAAAGAATGCCAGAGGTGGCACAGTGGTTAGAATGCAGTATTGCAGGCTAATTCTGCCGATCGCCAGTAGTTCAATCCTAACCGGCTCAAGGTTGACTCAGCCTTCCATGCTTCCGAGGTTGGTAAAATGAGGACCCAAATTGTTGGGGGCAATATGCTGATTCTGTAAACCATTCAGAGAGGGCTGCTAAGCACTATGAAGCGGTTTATAAGTCTAAGTGATATTGCTAAATGCTATCTTATGGGATCTTGGAAGCATGCTTGCAGCACCTGCTCTCTGGAAGCCATACTTCCCAAAATTAGATTGGCCCCAATCCTGTTGGTCTTTCATAAAACACTGAAGACCTGAATGTAGTCCAGGGTCTGGGGTTAGAAGGTTACAGAGCCCATTGAGAGATTTCTTGATTGTTTATCTGGTTTAAACCCTAACAATTCTATTCTCTGTTTCTTATTGTTTCTTATTGTTGTGAGCCGCCCTGAGTCCTTCGGGAGAAGGGCGGCATTTAAATCCAATAAATAAATAAATAAATAAATAAATAAATAAATAAATAAATAAACAAATAAAAAAGGGTAAAAAAAGAGTTTTTACTCTTTGTTAATATTGTTTTTAACAGGTTGTTAACTGCTAAGAGTTACATTTGGGAGATGGGTGGCCATATAAATCAAAGGAAGAAAAGTAGGTAGGTTTCGTGTGCTACTGAAGCCACATCTTTATGTTTGCACATCTTTCACACAACCTGCTTAATCTGCTTAAAATTATTTGCATGCACAAAATATTCAACCACCAACCAAAAGTCTACATTTCCCACAAAAAATGCTAAATCGTGAAAGGCTCCCAAACCAGGTAAATTCAAGGAAGAATGTCACATTGTGCAGTTGCCACAAATTTAATTGGACTCATTAAGTCTGTTAGATAAATGAAGTAGTAACTGTGTAGGTGCCATCCATAGCCCAGCCTGAGGAATATACTGCAAGCAATCTGTTAAAGTGAAAGGGCAAGTGAAAGAAAATGATGATTTAAAGACTGGCAGAGAGAGGGGGAGGAGGGGGAGGGAGAGAGAGAGAGAGAGAGAGAGAGAGAGAGAGAGAGAGAGAGAGAAGGAGAGAATCTTAGATTTTGCAGGAGATGATTTTAGCCATTACTGGTACTTCGTATCTCCATTTGTTTCCTCCCTAGCATTCTTCTGCAAGTACAGGTCCCATTTTTTTGGATCAATGAAATGTTAATCCTTTCTCTGCAATAGGAACTGACTGACTGACCTGGCTGAGCCTGATACTAAGAGAGAGTTACCCAATCACCTTTCATGCTAAAGGTTAGACTAGAACTCACATTCTCCTGGTTTCTAGCCTGGTGACTTAGCCTTAATCAATATCTCCAATAAAAGCAACTATTCAAGATATTCAAGCAACCACTGAAGACAGATAGTTCTCAAAATAAAACTGTGTATTCAAGACTTCAGCTTTTAGTGACTGCTTTCAGAGCATTTTGAGTTCCGACCTACACAGAGAAAAATATTTTTCTGAAGAGACCATGACAACAGACCTATTTTCTGCTTTCCACAGACATGATCCCACCGCAGGAATTTGTTTGGGAAAGGAACCAACTGGAAAGAAAGGTATTTGAAGGAAGAGCAAGAAGATGGAAGAATCCAAGATTCTAGCGTGAGAAGACAACTGTATCAGGAGTTGCCAAGAGTCTCTGGCTTGATGTTGACCTACAGAGAGAGCCAGCTGCAGTGCAATGTAGGATACTGAGCTGGCAGTAAAATCATTCCAGACTCTGGTGTGATTTTATTTACTCAAACTGGTCATTATGTCAGTGTCTTTTTAAACTTGGCAATTTTAAGATATGTGAATTTCAAATCCAAAAATTCCCCAGCCAGCATACTTTGAAAACAATGTCTAAGATTTTCTATAAAGGGCTGTATTGAGTTGGAATTTTGTCTAAAACCATTCCAGCTCTTTGGGAGTGTTTATGAATTCTGATTTCTTTAATAATTTCTTTAGCTGTTAATCTGCAGTAGCTAGAATTTTTTCTTCCTTTACATTGTCAGAGATTATCACTTTCCCACCCATGGCAAACCATAGTATTTCCATAGTACAATTTTTTCAACTGTATGCTCTCCAGAGTCTCCCAGTTCTCTGAAGGCTACAATTCTGCATTCTAACACATATGGAGAATGTCAGGCATAGAAAGCTGCCTTAGCAGCCACTAAACAAATATCCAGACCAGGGGTGGG